ACAGTCGGTAATTTTGTGCGGCTCAAAACGCCAGCCATCAAAGAAACGAAGCAAGTTCGTCAGCTACCTGAAAAGATAGACCACGACCACACCTCTATTCGATTTCAGGTAGCCGATTAACCGACTGTGAGGCCGTGGGCAAATGTGGGCATTGCCTGTTGATGGCTGGAGGTTTGTCTTTTGAGCGGCAAAAATGGCTGACATAAACTACGCGTCAATTTAACTCGAACACCCCAATTTTTGGTCACTTTTTGAAAGGCTATTATAGCTCAAAATCTAGCAGGCCAATTTTGTTCAAATTTTCAGGAGTGAAAGGATCTAATTGCTATTAAGTTCCCAGTTCTTAACAGATTTACGGCCACCTGCTGAAGGATACAGGGTGAAACATAAGTTGGCGATTTTTGTACGAAAGTTTGGGTTCACCTCTTTTTGCTAGAGGGAGGGTTAAGTAGATTTTTGATATGCAGTTTAGAAGAGTACCTTAGTACGTCGGGACATTTTTGAGATTTTTTGAATATCGCAGCCGACTGCGATTTTATCATGAGTTATACGATTTTATGTAAAATATAGCTATTGACGTCATTATTTCTTTTCGAAACAAACACTACAAGAATGGCACATGTGAAAACACACTTAGAACATATTATACAGGGTTATACAAAAATATATAGGGTATTCTGATAAAAGTTTCCGGATGTTTTTCTCAATTCAAACGAAAAGCCAACTAGGAAACATTTAATACTTTATAGCCATAAGTAACATGATCGTTAACAATTATACGTGAAACACAATATCCAACAAATAGCCGTCGCGACTTCTCTCACAGCACACAACTTTTTCGCCAAAACTTTCGATCACATCTGTGCACATTTCCGGTGGTATTTCACGAATAATACGCCGAATCTCATCTTTCAACTCTTGAATTGTTTGGGGGATTGTTAACATACGCTTTGCTTTTGATGTAACCCCACAATAAAGAGTCTAGTGGCGTTAGATCGCAAGATCTAGGCCGCCAATTGAAATCCCCATTTCTTGAAAGAAGTTTACCTTCAAACCGTGTTTGCAATAAGTCAATGGTTTATCTTGCTGTGTGACATGTTGCGCCGCTTACATCAAAAGAAAAGCGTATGTGAACAATCCCCAAACAATTCAAGAGTTGAAAGATGTGATTTGGCGCATTATTAGTGAGATACCATTGGAAATGTGCACAGATGTGATTGAAAATTTTGGCAAAGGAGTTGTGTGCTGTGAGAGAAGTCGCGATGGCTATTTGTTGGATATTGTGTTCCACGTATAATTATTAACGATCATGTTACTTATTGCTATAAAGTATTAAATGTTTCCTAGTTGGCTTTTTGTTGGAATTGATAAAAACATCCGGAAAGTCTAATTGGAACACCCTAATAATGCGTTCAAATTTTTATACTTGCAATAAGCAAGCTTTTTTTTGAATTTTTTTGCAATAAGTAGGTACCTAACAGATAAAATGTTAATATCGGCTAATCAGTACACGAGGCATTGTAGGTGGTCTAAAAAAAACTTTGCCCTAATTTAACTGACCTCGTATCTTTAATAATAACCAAGATACCTCTGGTTAGAAAAATAGACACACTGTATATTTTTGTACGTCCCTGTATAATATGTTCTAAGTATGTTTTCACATGCGCCATAATTGTAGTGTTTGTTTCGAAAAGAAATAATGACGTCAAAAGCTATATTTTATGTAAAATCGCATAACTCATGAAATCATAGTGGGCTGCGATATTCAAAAAATCTCAAAAACGTCCCGAGGTATAGTATTTTTAATTTGAATTGAAACACTAAAAAAACATCTAAGCCGTTTTCTCGCGTCTACTTTTTTGACATTGGTTCAAAACCAATATGAAACAGTCAATGGAAACACCATTGCCCATTTCAAACCTGTTTTGAACCAATGTCAAAAAAGTGAACGCGATAAAACGGCTTAGATGTTTTTTTAGTGTTTTAATTCAAATTAAAAATATTAAACTAAGGTACTCTTCTAAACTGAATGCGAAAAATTTACTTAACCCTCCCTCCAGCAGAATGGGGTGAACCAAACTTTTGTAAAAAAATCGCCAACTTATGTTTCACCCTGTATCTTTCAGCAGGCGGACGGAAATCTTTTAGCAAATGGAAATTAATTAGCAATTAGAGCAGCCTTTCACTCCTGAAAATTTAAACAAAATCGGCCTGCTAGATTTTGAGTTATGGTCTTACAAAAAGTGACCAAAAATTGGGGTGTTCAAGTTCGATTAATGCGTAGAAATTCACCTGACCGTCATTCTACCGCTTGCACATTCAAAAAGGCGATGGTATTCTGCATACACATTGATGTTTTTGTTCGCGCGTTCATGTATGTGCGAACATGTTCTCAGACATCCACGTCCGTGTGTAACCGCCTTTATACACAAATCCCGGTACCGTTCTTCACGCCCGTCATTCTGATACAACATGAATCGGCATTCATCCACAAACAAACATCCCTACCATTCATTATTACTGAAGATACGAAAAAAAGCCTAATAACCAAACTGGCGCAAAAATTGATGAACTTTTGATTTCTGTTGTTTAAAGAGTATCTTTATATAGCGATTTCTTGAGACAAGTTGAATTTATAGCTATATCATCGTAATTGCGCCCCCTAGCGGTAATCCTAGAAACTTGAAAATAATTTCCATCAATTTCTCATGGCCGATTTAGTGAAGAAAAAAAAAATCCCGAAGCCGTGAAGTCTATGGTTTCCATAATATCGTACCTGGCCGACCTTAGTGGGACACCTGGTATATTTTTGTATGACCCTGTATAATATGTTTTAAAGTGTGTTTCCACATGCGCCATAATTGTAGTATTTGTTTTGAAAGAAATAATGACGTCAATAGCTATATTTTACATAAAATCGCATAACTCAAGATAAAATCGTAGTGCAACGGTAGTGGGCTGCGATATTCAAAAAATCTCAAATGACACAGACAGCCTGTATATTTTTTGTTTTTCGGATTCAGCAGGTCTTTTTACGTCATAATGCACCACTTTTAATTTGAGTTTTCTCCAAATTTTTATTTTTAAATGAAATTTCAATTTCTCAACTACATAATGTTTAAACGAAAATAATGAAAAATGTCTTAGGGCCCGTTTACTCATCTTCAGATAAACTTGCTGGTAACTATCTGCAAGAAAAATGTACCGTTCTATAACTCTATTGGTCGGCAGATAACTGGCCGACCAATAGGATTACAGATTGCGTTTTTATCTCTCAGTTTGCATACCTGATAGTTTATCAGAAGGTGAATAAACCGGCGCTCAGTGTATTACATCGTTCGATTCGCTTTAAAATACTGCATTTAGTGATGTTATGGAAGTGATATGTTTCTATTTCGGTTTTTGAGCTAGGGCAAAAATACTAAAAAAATGAAGTTTACCAGTCCTTTATCAAAAAAGTTTACAAAGATATATAATTGAGTTTGTATTTTTCTGATTGTGAGTTAAGTATGTAGGTATGTAGAGTGATTTTAGGATGATCATACCACTCTAGTTGAAAAATTAATATTTAATTTAAAAATAAAATTTGGACAAAACACAATTTGAAAGTAGTGCATTGGGACGTAAAACGATCTGTAGAATCCGAAAAACAAAAAATATACAGGGTGTGTCATTTCAAAATCAAAACTTCCGGTCATTTCTGGTAAAACCGGTAGTCGGAAAAACTTGTCAAAGATGCATAAAAATGGCGTTTCGTTAGAATAGAACAAATAAAAAAATGGTAGCCGGAAAGTAATCTCGTGGGCACCCGGTATAGGAAATTTTATTCTCTACAAAAAACCTCAGGCATTTATGCAATAAAAATGCATACTTTTTGAGTCACAGCCGAAAACTCAATTAGCTGACAAACTCACCCCGCTCTTGAAAATACACCCCTACATCTGGTAGCACTCCACGGTTTCATCATCTTTTGGAACCAATTGAACATAATAAACAATAAAATTTCACTGACGTCTTAGTTCCTTATTGAATGACATAGTCATAGCCTTAATAATGAGCCCTGTAAAGATGCATTAAGTATCTTCCTATAACTACCAGCAGTTATTATGCTTTTCAGGATTCTTATACAAATAGACCCTGAGATAGGGACTGTTTAGTGGAGTCATTTTTTTTTGTCTAGCATTTGGAGGGCTGAATGTGGGTAGTTAGCTGATGAGAATATGGGTGATTTCAATGCCTGCCACTCGTTCGAAAATTTTGAGATGAAAAAAGTTCATTTACATGGAGCATTTTTCTTTATATATATAATTATCGGTTTATAACGTTCTATATACGTCTTCCGATTCCCGATCTCCAACCATCTCTGACAATCCAGGCATCCTCTTCTAAGCCTCTGTCTCTCATTTCTTCGTCTACTCCACTTCTCCAGCTCCTTCTCGGTCTGTCGCGTCTTCTTCTTCCGCCTGGCTTCCACTCAATAATTTGCTTGGATCCTTGTATCTGCCATTCTTTGTACATGTCCGAACCAACCGAACTAACCAACCAGCATTTTTCTTAAATGATCTTAAATTGTCTGCCTTTGAATAAAACATTAAAATTGATAAATAATTCACCCATAAAAAATGCCAGATGCTTTCCAATGGCTGGAAAAGTGGGGATGAGTGTCAACTTGCATGAGAAAAATATAGCAGTTTCCGCAATTTCTTTCTGTCTGGCAATCGAGAGAATGAAAGCTTTTTTTGTGATAATAACGCTGAAAAATCGCAAGACGGTTATCACAGTTCGAGCAATTCCGCAAAAAGTTCTGTGGACATTTCGAACGCGGAGCAGGCACTAAAACCACTTATTATCTCATCAGCTAACTAGCCACATTCACCACTCAAAATGCCAAACAAAAAAAAATGACTCCACCCTATCTAAGTTTCTAAAAACCATGTCACAGAATACCTATCTCTAGAAATAATATCTTGTAACAATTTCTGTTAATTTTTTTGTTTCAGGTCAAAATTCTCTTCGTCAGAAATCTGGACCTTTTGCTAAGTCGTTTCCAATTCGGTATGATCATCCACAGACTTATCAATTGTCAATTCGTGGAAAAAATTCACAAATTCGAAAATCACGCTTTCATCCACTTGATAACACACGAACATGCCGAACAACTTTTGGAAAAATTGAAAGGTAAATGTTTTCCTCTATGTCTTTTCGATCAAAATTTATTTTTATGTTTCATATTTTTCTCTAGCTTTTTACAATGGAACTACAGTTGAAGTGTGCTTTGCCACGCCGCCAAATAAGTTCGCAGATAAGACTTTTAGAAACACGGTTATGTAAGTATAGTTTGTTCTTCAAATACCTAAGTCAAATGTTTTTCTTTTTATTTACAGAGCTAACCGTTGCCAGAAGTTTGAAAAGCTCAGCAGAGCATCAAATCGTTATGCAGAAAGTACTTCTATGGACACTCCTCCATTATCAGTCTCTCCTACATCTACCAATACTTCGTCCGCCCTCAAGCGTCAGAAGGATATTTTAGAGGATTTGGAGGTAAACTTCTTTTCAAGGTTTTATGGTTAGTTGTAGCTGTCCGCCCAAGTAGGTATAGTCCAACAAATACCATTTTAAAGTCACGTGATTTTTCTCTATCCTTGTTGAATACATCTCAAACAGCGGTGATAGTAAAATTGACAAAAAAATTGCTGTCTAATTATTGTTCATAATATTCTTACCTGGAATAGAATCCGTCACTGTCATCAATTAGTTTGTCAAAGTTATTTTCGAAAATAATACAACGAACAAACACAGCTAATAATTTTGACTATATTAACCTTTTTCCAACTCGAAAAGAAGCAAATAGAAAACGGGTACCCAGTTTAAGTTCAGATGTATTAAAACAGACAGCAGATGCGACAAAAGTGAGTCTCGGAACAATTGCAAGTATTAAAATTGCCCTCTGATTGGTCAATACTACTTCAGAAACGCGTTTGTAAAATGCTAGTGGGCACATATATTAAAATTCAATAGTAATTAACCACCAGTAGCTTTTTGTAGGTGATATCAACGACATAATCAATGGACATACGTTTTTTGCCACCAGTATCACGTGACTTTAAAATGGTATTTGTCGGACTATACTCTATTAATTAGTTAGATGGTAAATGGCGAGCAGAATAACTAAAAATTAACTTCTGGAATGAGTAACGTCATTCCAGAAGTTAACTTTTAGTTATTCTGTCAAAATAATTTTATAATACCCGCCCTTAGTCTTTTTATAATCGTGTACGAGCGTTTCCCCGGGGCGTTATCTTAGGAGATCTACCTTTTTTCCTTTGAGGGTTGAGGGTGAGCCAAATTTTGTCGTAAGTTCGCCTTAAGAAGGTCATATATGGTTTTCATTCGATCACTTGCGAATTCTGTCCTTTCTGTAACTATATCATGGATGTGAAAAAGTCTTTATCGCAGATCGTCCGTCAGCATAGTCTTCGGCTTCCATGTCGGCGACATCTGGTCACCCGAATACCAAGTGACAGGATAAACGAAGCTCCCCTCCAAACAAAACTTTGGCTGGTGTAACTCTTTTTGTGTTATGTACGGCTGACCGGTATCCCATCAGAAATAGAGGTATATTCCCATCCCAATCATCTTGATGCATGTCAACTACTTTGAAGAGATGTTCCTTGATTGTCTTGTTGAATCTCGCAACCATGCCATGTGATTATGAATGCAATGCCGTGGTTTTAATTGTGAATACCTAACAGTTCGCAAAATTTCTGAAATAGTCGCGACTCGAAATTGCGCCCTTGATCCGAATGAAGTTCCAGTGAGATTCCAAACCTCGTGAAAACATAGACAAGACCTTTTGCAACTGTAGATGTCTCTTCAATTGCGAAACTTCTAGACTAACTAAGATGTATTTGTTGCCACTCTGCATAGCAGGAAATAGACCTACGTCTATTGCCATTCGTTCGAAAGGTAACCCCACGTTGTACGCTTCATTCGTCCGTTAGATCGTGTTTTGGTTGGGTCGCCGCCGGAATGTTCCACTAGTGCTAAAAGTAATCACTTTTAACACCAGTGTCATAAAATGGCATTTTAGACACTGACAGCATCCGTTAAAAATGACACTTTTAGTGACGTTTGTAGAAAAACGTTCGTTTCAAATCTTCAAAAAAATTATTGTTTCTATAACCATCAAAAAATACACAACTTTCGTTATATTTCATCCACCGAAAACGTCATTTTCGTCACTAATGATAGAATATCTTATAACGTTAATTTTCGTCACTAGTGACCAAAATTAATGATTAGGATTTTACATGTTAAATACATTCTTTCAATCCAATTATAATTTAATTTTCTGAAGCACAATGAAAAAACACATACGTAGTTTATCACAAAATTACCTAAAACCGAGAACTTTTGATGGATGGCGCCTTGATTCATTTATAGCTACTACTGCTATGTGTTTGCTTGATATATCACCAGCGAATGAAAACACTGTTTTACTAATAACTCGGTTTAATTCTGGGCACTGAACATACAAATAAATCGAAATACTTTATTTTGTTAACAACAACAACACGATATCATAATTGCGCGGCAACAAGCTGACTAGAAGTAAACAACAACCTGGGACAGCTGTCTTCTGTCACGTCACGTCAGGCCGCCAGGGTTGTACACAATAGTTGAGCCATCCAGGGTTGAACACAACGGACTCGCGGAACAATGACGCCACATCTACTCCCCTCCCAGTGATGAAGCCACTTGTGGGAGGAACGAAACCTTCTTTTTTGAGTAAGTGCGAAGAGGGCGGTCCATGGTGAAGGATGACGCTGGGTGATTCTCCAGGGTGGATGAAACGGTATCGGGTTTAAGGGTGTAGGCTGGCTTCAGGGCGTCCACAGAGACAGTCTTCTCAACGCCATTGATTCGAATGCTGTACACTCGGTCATTTATTCTCTTGACGACTTCATGCGGGCCAGTGTAGGGCGGTTCGAGCGGGCGACGAACAGAGTCCACTCGGCGGAAGACATGACTGCAAGTTGCGAGGTCCTTGAGGATGAAGCAGCGAGATTTGATATGGTGAGCCGTAGGTGTTGGGCGGACTTTCCTGATGTGGTCCCGGTATTTTTCGAGGAAGACTTGGGGATCAGCTGGGGGTGACTCAGAGGTGAAGAATTCACCAGGTATACGCAGGGGTGTCCCATAAAGGAGCTCCGCTGGTGAGGCATTCAGGTCTTCTTTCAGGCACGAACGCAGACCCAGAAGAACGGTCGGAAGCACTTCCGTCCAGGGCGTGGGTGCTTGACACATAAGGGCTGCCTTCAAAGTCCTATGGAAGCGCTCTACGATGCCATTGGACTGCGGGTGATAGGGCGTGGTGTGGATTACCCGCGCTCCTACAAGGCGTGCAAGAGCCGAAAATAGTGAAGATTCAAATTGCGTGCCCTGGTCAGTTGTGATGGATAGTGGCGTTCCGTAGTTGCAAATCCAATTGACATAGAGAGCAGACGAGACGGTGTCAGCTTCCATGTTCTGGAGGGGTACTGCAACAGGCCATCTAGAAAATCGATCAATTATGGTTAAGCAGTAACGAAATTTGTTGACTGGTGGTAAAATGATGAGGTCTAGGTGAATATGCTCGAATCTGTTGTCAGGTACGGTGATGTGCTGTGGTGCGAGACGATTGTGTCGTTGAATTTTGGATTTTTGACACTGAATGCATTGGCGGGACCACTGGAGGGCGTCCTTCTTGATTCCAGGCCAAACAAATTTTTCTTTGAGGCTTCGAGCAGTGACTCGGCCGCTGGGGTGTGCCAAACCATGCACAACATCAAAAGCTTTGCGTCGGAGACTTGTCGGAATGTAGGGTCTGATGCGATCTGAAGAGATATCGCAGAGGACGTTGGCGTTTTCAATAACAAGCTGTTGCAGATTGAGCGATGATTCTTGTGGCGTATCTTGGTCTTCAAGCTGTGCGGCTTCGATGGCTTTAGGAGACAGTGACGTTGGCATGGAGATAGCGTTAATACGAGACAGGGCGTCAGCAACGGCGTTGTGTTCTCCCTTGACATAGACGATTTCTGTGCTGAATTGTGAAATAAAGTCCAGTTGATGGAGCTGTCTGGGGGATGCTTTTTCAGCGCGCTGAGCAAAGGCGTATACCAGTGGGCGATGATCAGTTTTGATGATGAACTGGCGTCCTTCCAGCTGGTGACGAAAGAACTTTATTGCAGCGAAAATCGCTAGCAGCTCGCGATCGTAGGTGCTGTATCGCGTTTCGGTGGGACTCAACTTGCGGGAAAAAAAACCTATGGGCTTCCAGCAGTCGTCGATCAGCTGTTCAAGTGCAGCTCCAATGGCGAAGTCCGAGGCATCAGTGACGAGTGCGAGACTTGCAGAGGGTGAGATGAAGCTGGTACAAGTCGCTTTGACAATGCTTTCTACACAGTCTTGGTAGGCCTTCTCTGAGCTGGGTGTCCAAGGGATGGGCCGTTTGTCTTTTTTCTTGGCACCCTTCATAAATGCATTGAGAGGGGCTTGAAGTTCAGCGGCCTTTGGAATACAGCGACGGTAATAATTGAGCATTCCCAAAAAACTTACGAAGGTCAGAGATGGTCTCTGGCTTGGGGTAAGAAGCGATGGCTTGGATCTTGGAATCAGGTGGTTTGTATCCGAGCTTGTTGATGGAGTAGCCGAGGTACATAACTTCTGACTTGTTGATTTGGCACTTGCTGAGGTTGATAGTGAGTTTGTTCTCACGCAGTACATTAAAGATTTTGCGTAGATGTTGCAGATGTTCCTCATGGGAATCCGAGAACACTATCAAGTCATCAATGTAGCATGCTGCGAAGTCAATACCACGGAGAAGGTTGTCCATATGACGTTGAAATGTCTGAGTGGCATTGCGCAGGCCTGGAGGCATACCCAGAAACTCAAAAAGCCCAAAAGGAGTAGTTATCGCTGTTTTGGGTATGTCCTCTGGTGCTACAGGAATTTGGTGGTAAGCAAGATGAGTTCCTGTAGGGGCGTCCACTGATGGGGCTGACCTTGGACAGGTGATGTCAATAAACTCTTCCAGCAACTTGCTATAGGGTTGACTGAGTGTAGGAGGTGCATATTCTGCATTATTGACAGTGGAAACAGTATGAAGTTCGGTTTCATGCATTTCAGCAGGAGAAGACAGTGAGGTAAGAGAGTCCAGAAGGCGCTTGTGCTTTAAATCAGGAAGGAGGCCATGATGTGAAAGCAGGTCGGCACCTATGATTGCTGATTTGACGTCTGCAATGATAAATGCCCACTTGAAGGATCTGCGGAGTCCAAAATTGAGGTTAAGAAAGTGTTGACCATACGTTTTGATAACTGTTGCATTGGCTGCATATAGCATGAGGTCAGCAGGCAGAAGTTTTCATTGAAAGAAGCTTCTTGGAATCAAGGATACAACGGAACCACTGTCGATAAGGAACTTCATGCCAGTGACCTTGTCTATGACGTGCAGGCGACTTTCTTTAGATGGGAGGCAGGTGCTGTTGACATTGCTGTCGCTT